GCAGCAAACAGGCGCGATCCCACAGCAACATCTGGGAATCATGCTGTGCCCGTTCCCAGCTCGTTCCCAATCTGCACCTCCCGGCCAAAACCTGCAGGTAGGTGGTTCTTTCTGAAGGGCCGCATCACTGCCGGCTGTGGGATCGCCGGCACATCTTTTCGCCGGCGCATCCCCGGCCCCCGGCCGTACTGCGCATGCTCGAGCATGCGCAGTTCGGCAGCCTCCCCCTCCCACTCATGTCTTCCTCCCCGGCATCTGCAATGGCGCTGTGGCTCAGGGGATTGTGGGATCCCGCCGCGGCATCTCTTTTTTGGTGCGGCTTTTAGAAGCCGTGTTTGCCCAGTGTTTTCCCTGCCGTGTGGCAGGGGCCAAGGAGAGCAATCATGTTAATGGTGGAAAGTCCAGCTGATCTAGTATTACATGAAGCCTGTTCTGTATCGGATCAGATCACAATTGCCAGCTCTGGGTTGGAAAATACCTGGAGATTTTGGTATGGAGCCTGGAGAGGGCAGGGTTTGGGGAGGGGAGGGACCTCAGTTGGGCACAATGCCATAGAGTTCGCCTTCCAAAGCAGCTATTTTCTCCAGGGGAACTGAACTTCATGGTCTGGAGAGCAACTGTAATACTGGGAGACCTCCAGGCCACACCTGGAGGTTGAGGATTAGGGGTGCCACCTGCATACTTCCAGCAGCAAACCCCATCAAAGCACCCCATCCCCTGCCAGCACTCAATGGATTGGGGGAGAAAGTAGGTGGGGAGACAGCATCTGGTCATGCCACAATGTCCTTTCTGGCTGCATAACTGGAATATCATCACTTTACCAGATATGCTGGCATTTTGCAGAAACACAACAATTTTACCATAGAGTTTCAAGGAAATGCTAGAGTGCCCCATGACATGGTGATGTCACTTCCAGTTACACAGCTGGAAACGATGTTACTGCATTGCAGAACGTTGTTCACATGCATGCTGTCCACCGCCCAGGCTCCCAGAGATTGCCATCCAAGGCCTGACAGCCCTAATTGAGGATTCTAGTGTCCTCCAACCCTCCTTCCTCTCCATGAGTGACTATAGTTTGGAACCAGAGGCCTATCTCCTCCTATGCTAATTAGCAGGCAGAGATACTGTGTCTGGCTGAATGCCCTAGTGGGGAGGATGAGGGAGGACTGGCCCAGAGCAGCCCCTGTATTTCACAATGGATCTAATTAACAAAGAATACAGTCAGTGAAAATGTCATCCTAATTGACTGGAAAACAAAGAAATTACAGTGTATCTGCATGTGTTGCTTATTGATACGTGTTTCTCATTGAAACCAGTGCAAAGGACATGAAATTAATGTGCAACATAACAAATGAAATGAAAACAAAATGACACACTGTCAAAAGCAGGGGTGCTTAAACTAGTAAGAGGGGGAAAGCTACCTCAGCATGAGAGAAGAGCCTGAAGAGCAAGCACTGGCATGTGGGAACAGGAATTGGGATGATGGAAAGTTGGAAGCTGATGGGTATTCAGTCCGGAAGAGGGAATTAGAGACCGCAATTATGTTGGTGATGGGATTTGGGCAGGAAAGTTGTGGCAAGGTGGCACACTGGGGGCTGAACGGTAAGGGTCATAGAAGTGAGCCACCAGTCCTATCAAATGCATGAACATGTAAATCTGTCTTATACTGAATCAGACCATTGGTCTATCAAAAAGACTGATACCCCTGCCTGGCAGTGCTTCTCCGGGGTCCCAGGCACAGTGGGGTTTTTTTGTATTATCTACTTCCTGATCCTTTTAACTATAAACCCTACGGATTAAATCTGAGACCTTCTGTACGTCAAGCAGACAAGCTATCACTGAGCCACAGTTCCCCAAACCATTTAAAGTTTCCTACGATATACGTATACTATGGAAGTAACACTTAGGCTACCTCAATTCCTTCCCCCTTCTCAACTTTTCAATAATCTCTTATTTGCATTTGAACATTACACTATGAGAAAGAAATCAAATATATGAGAAGTAGCTGCCTCTTTCACTCGTTCCAATGGCAGCGAACAACACCCCTTGCCAGTTTGACATCTGAACATTCCACAAAGATAACAGAGGGAAAATGGAAGAAGACAGAAACATTCAGATAACATACTTCTGGATAACAAATTAATCGGAGGAAAGAAATAAACAATGGCACTATGAATGTAAGCAACAACAAAGCAGATGGATTTTCCAGATACCAGAAACTTGCTTCCTTCTCAAAGAAAAGTTGCCTAATAAAACAGGTTGCCTGGGGAATGGTGGACTTTTCTTTAATGGAGGTTTTGAAGTCCCTGTCTTACCTTACCTTCATGATCTGGAAAATGTTGCAATGTGGCTCCTTCCCGGACTATAGAGAGCTCTGGAGCACCTGGGAGGAGCTCAAACTGCAGCAACCGGGAACCTTGGAGACCAATGTAGAGCGGGAGCCAAACAGTGGAAGCGCCTCTTCCACAAAAGTATCACCCCAAAAAAATGACCTGAGAGGATCATCTCAGTATATTTCTATCCTGGTTTTAACCCCGGGAATGCTACTGTTATAACAGGTTCGAGACAGCTAAGAAGAAGCATTCCATTATACAGTTATATTCAGATGGGGAGCCGTGTTGGTGTGAAGCAACAGTCTGAGTCCAGTCTGAGTCCAGTTTAATCCCGGGTATAAGCTTTCATGTACATGCACACTTCTACAGATAACTAAAAAAAGTATCTGAAGAAGTGTGCATGCACATGAAAGCTTATACCCAGAATTAAACTTTGTTGCTCTTCAAGGTGCTACTGGACTCAAACTTTGTTCCTTTATACAGTGAAGAACTGACTTCTGGATTCATTGCCAGGAGATGGCCATTAGCTTAGATGGCTTAGGCAGATTCGTGGAAGTCTGGCTACAGTATCAGCTGGGATGGCTGAAAAGAATGGGCCTGGTCAGATGAAGCAGACCACTTTCATGGCCTCTGTGCAGGTTTGTATGCTTCCTAGAAGCATCTGACTGGCCACTATTGGATGCTAAGGTCTGACCCAGCAGAGTTTCTTGTTCTCTTGGTGTCTTTGAACACAATGCAGCCAGCCATGCATACCCAATACAGCTTCCCAGAGACCTGTGCGAGAAATTCTATTGGGACAGAGGCAGCGGGTGAGAAAGAGGGGACTCCCAACTCTTCTCAAAATCTTCCACCTGAGGTCACTACCTCTTCTTGACCCACTGTAAAGCCAGCTGTGCTGTGACATTTGTCATAGATGATGACAAGACGAAACAGAAATTACCGAGAGAGAGAGAGAGAGAGAGAGAGAGAGAGAGAGAGAGAGAACCATCTGAATTTTTAAAAATGTAACTAGGAAAAAATTAAGAGTTCTTTTGTGGAGATTCACAAAAAGGGCTGGGGAGAAGTGTGAGCAAGCCTTGTCAGTTTCTCAAGTCAATGTTTTCCCTGGATTCTAAAACGCCTTTATTAGCAGACTTTTAATTGCAATTATTGTATGCAAGTGTACCAGCGAAACAAGATCCTTCACAGTACTACAGTATTAAGGACTTTAAAGTCAAATCATGCCAATGCAGATGTTCCTAATTACTCCAAAAGCACAAAAACTTACACAAACCGGTTGGTTCCAGCTGCAGAATAATTCAATTAAAGGAATGCTTATAATGTTCGATGCATGAATGAAAACTGGGGCTAGCTGCTAAGAGAATCTGCTTCCGAATGATCTAGAATCTATTTTGGACAAGGCATTTTATGTGAGATTTCCAACATAAACCACAATAATGTGGCAGAAGTCACCATTTCTCAAAAAACCCAAGAACTATTTAATGACTTTGTACTTTTCACCTGCATTCAGATATATAAGCTGGAGATGGTTTCTTCTTACCTACAGCAGCCAAACCAGATTGGAGTTTGTCTTGGTTTGCACTACCATTTTTCAATAGTTTTTCAGAATATGTCACAGGTAAAACAATGCAGTACATCTCAGGGGACAAGCATGCCAACTGGAAGACACAGCTTTGGTGTCAAGTGGCAGCATTTGGCAAGAAGTCCCAATGAGGTATCGAAAGCTTTGTGCAACAGCTAGCCAAACCAGCATTTGTTCTTCCTTGCGCCAGAATGACATTGTGCATTCATTAATTTCTTTAGACATTTATACCCTGCTTCCCCCCCCCCCAGCGGGGACCCAAAGCAGCTCGCCCCCTGCGAGTTATGAATGTGACTAGCTCGAGGTGAATGGCCCAATGTTACCCAGTGAGCTTCCATGACTGAATCAGGATTTGAACTCAGGCCTCCCAGCTCCTACTAAAATGCTCTAACCACTACACTACACTGGCTTTCCATTCTATAAGAGAAATGGGGACACGATCTCTGGAAAGACAAAGGCAGGCATGGAGATCTTTAGGGGTTTCGTAGCATGGGCTATTTGAAGAGTCCTTTTACCAGCCCTGCAGCGGAAGTGAGAACAACCATGCTATCCACTTGCTTGCTGCTGCACAGTATCGCAACTGCTGGTGGATCAGTCAGCACAGCATAGAAAGTCACCTTTCATTCCATTAACAAGCCTCTCAACATAGCTATATCTGGCGAGGCATATGAAATAGTCATTCCCATACATATGGTGGTAGATAGTGCTCAGTTTATATAGTGGGTTTACACACACACACAAATGCAGATCAGACAGACAGGTAGCCGTTGCTGCCTGCTTGCATGTCCAAGGTGACTAGTATTGACCCACCCCCCTACTGACAGATTACAGAGGAGAAACCCTGATACCTTGCAGCACGTTTTACAGCCAAGTCCTATGAACGCTCACTAGCAAGTAAGCCTCCCTGACTTCAGTGGGGCTTAATCTCAGGTAAGCGTACCTAGAGTGGCAGCCTAAACTGCACGGAGTGTACCCAAGATTGGGGCAACTGCCTCCCCCAGTACTCAAAGGGAGGGTGCCAGGCATGAAAGGAAGTAGCCAGACTCAAGCCATGCAAGCAAGCAAAAGCATCATCAAGACAGTACCTTGTGTCACCTGTTGGACAGCCAGCATCATCCCAGAAATTGTATCGGGGAGCAGGTCTGTTTTCCAGTTGTACTTGGGAGCCCACTCCAACACAGGCAGCCTCCGCAGACCCCACACTTTGAAATCTTTACAGCGAAGGGCTTGGATCTTCCTCCAGATGGCATTCTTCTTTTTTCTCTTTGATCCTGTCATGCTTATTCCAGGCTGTTCCCCCCCCCCCCTTCCCTTGATAAAAAGTTCCTTCTTCTGTAGACGCAGACAAGGGAAACACCTCTGCAGAAATATACCAGACTGGTATCAGTTCCCACTTATTCTTCTGTTAGGTTACAGTTTTAGATCTATTTTTAAAAAAAGAAATAGGAGCACTTGCGCTCTCTCTCGAGCGGGCTCTCTCCCTCCCTCCCTCCCTCCCTCTCGTTTCAATGTCAAAGGCTTGCTAAGTATGTTTGCTTTCACCCATGCAAATGGCTAAAGGTTCCTCATGTTCAGCATAATATTTTTCTGCCCTCGGCAGAAACGTGGTCTCAACCTTAGGACAGTTTATGATTCTCTTTGCAGTCATTCTCCTCCTTATATTCACTGAAGTGCTCGTTCTCTTGGCCTGGGTCCAGCATCAAAATGAGGTAGTGCTGGGCGTCTGTTCCATGTGGGATGGACTATGCTAATACAATCAGGAAGTGCCCAGCTAGACAAGAGTCTCCCTTGCCAACCATTCTTTTCAAAAGATGTTTTCTGTGTGTGCAGAAACACGACACAGAAACCCTTTCCCCCCCTCCGCCCGGGAGGAAGGGTGATCAATGCATTAAAAAGTGCTCCGAATCCCTGCGGCTGGCAAACACGTTCTGTGAATCATTTCGTTTTGCTTGCAATGTTAAGACGTTAATGAGAGCATTCCCTTTGGAACGAAGAATTCAAGGACTAGGCTGCCCACACTTGGAACAGTTGATACCGACTGAAAACAAGGAGGCAGATCTTTTCAGGTACACTGCCACAGCAAGCCAAGCGGAAAAAAAATCCAGTGCTACTTTTTTACAGAGCGAATGCCCAAGATTTTTAAAAGGTGCACTTGAAAACGCAGACTATGAATGTGGAAAGGTATCTGAAATCATAAGTATTAAACAGGTAGACTTGCCAGGGTGCCAGAACCAGCTGCAGCTCCTGTTGAATGAACAATCTGTGAACATGCAGTGCTGCTTTCTCCCAAGTCAAACCACTGACTCATCTAACTTGTCATCTCCCCTGAGAGCAGCATTCTAGGGTCTCGCAGCAGAAAAAGATCTCTCCGGCAATGTTCCCTCTAAGCTGTGGAGTCTTGTGAGCAAGAATTCTACTTTGTGAGCTATCGGCATTAAAGTTGTGAGCGAGCGATTCAGCTACTGCATAAATTAATTTGCTCTGGAGCCATCCTTCCTGAGCTAAGACAAAAATGTGTGAGCTGGAGGTTACAAAATTGTGAGCTAGCTCACACTAACTCAGCTTAGAGGGAACACTGCTCTCCGGTAGATTTTTTTAATTATTATTAAATGGAAGATGACAGGGTTATACTGGGGGACTTCTGCCTGCAAAGCATGTGCTCTCTTTCTGAACCACAGTCCTTTCTCACAAAAAAATGGGCAAAAAATATATTTGCTGCATGAAATGGTCCTTAATGTGTTGCCTGCAACAAAAATCATGCATCATAAAAGGATCAGGGCCAAAATGAAGTATATGTGGATCATATTGCAGTTTCCCATAGCTCTGTTCATGATCTTTGCCTCAACAACTCTATGTATTTCCCAGACATGTGTTCACTAAGACGATTTATGTGGGTCAAGCACACTGTGTGAGCATATCACACAAATATGATAGCACCTATGCACAGCTCACAGAGACCCCCCACCTCTTCACATGTCAGATTCCAAGAGTCTTGGGGGAAATGCATAGATGCTCAAATACCTGCCAGTTCAGCTTGCATCATGTTCACTGGTTGTGAGCAGAGATCTGGTTTTTCATCTATCAGTTTGATTTGTTCCATTTATTTGTGGGTGTTTGGCAATTTGTTTCACTGTATTTCTTACTAACCATGCAGTACAGCACAACTGATTTTTTTGTGCATGCACATTCTCACACAGCCCGATGAAGTTCTACTACCCTCCTCCTTACTGTGTAACTGCTCTGCTCAGCAGGCAATTGTTTAAAAAGATAATTAGATCACTCTCAAATCATACAAATCTGTCATCAATGAATAAAGGATTTAGTCATCCACTAAATCCTGCTCTTTGGTGTTAGCAGCTAACTAGCCCTTAATAACACTAATGGACGCCAATCAGTTTGAAGCAGCAGAGTCTTTGTGCATGCTTAGTTTTGAGGAAACCTGATGCAAACCAATTTGGCAGCATGAGCCAAACAGATTGACCAGCTCACATCCGATCACCACCTTTGAACAGAGCAAGTTCAACCATCGAATCTATTTGCAGGGAAATCTGCCGCATGCCTAGAGTAGGTGACACAAAGCCCATGGGGGAATGGAGCATTCTGTGACTGTTCCCCTCAAAACAGGAGGAGGCCCTGAACAGGAACACCTTTAGTTAGCAGCATGCAGATACAATCTTGGACTTTGATAACTGTTGTCTTTTATCTGGTTGCATCGACACATATAATTGTCCCAGCATGACTGTCACTAGATGAACTGCACCCAGCACCAGAAAAGAAGGTATTTGGAATTCCTGTGAAAGAGCAGATCATTTTTGGTGGGAGCAGCCAATTTTTTACATCTCTATCTTGAAGGAAGCTGAAGATTGCTTCAGATTCATAATTACCAGCATCAGGTGTTTAAACTCCCTGGTGATTTTTCAAACCTTCCAGCTATGCAACTATAGAGTGTACTGCGGGTTGCCAGCCCTGGGTTGGGAAATACCTGGAGTTTTTGGGGGTGGAGCCTGAGGAGGGCGGGGTTTGTGGAGGGGAGGGACTTCAGTGGGATATAATGCCATAAAGTCTCAGTCCACCTTCCAAAGTGGCCATTTTCTCCAGGTGAGCTGATCTCTGTTGCCTGGAGGTCAGTTGTAATAGCGGGGGTCCTCCAGCCACCACCTGGAGGTTGGCAGCCCTAGGTGTACCTAAGAAGGAACTCTGTTGCAGAGAATGAAGCCAGTGCCACTAATGCCCTAGAGAAAGCAATGCCATTCATTTGCAACAGACTTTATTCTCTCCATTGAGGATCCCAAATGATTTACAATTCTCCCCTTTTTATTTGATCCTTACAACAACTACCCTGTGAGGTAGACAGAAAGAGTGACTGGCCCAGTGAGCATCCATGGCAGAACAGGGATTCAGACCTGGATCTGTCAGAGGCCCTAGTCTGTCACTTTGACTCTTCACCACAAACTGAGCTGACTAATCACATTACAGAGACACTGAAATGAAGGAGGAGGAAGATGGCACCCCCTGGGAAAACTGCACCCACACAGGAGACCCCTGCAGAACTCGGAGAGGCCAGCCTGCACTGCTCAGACACACATAAGAGGGAGAGCCCAGATGTAGCGTGCAGCAGAGATCTGATGTTAGAACATCTAGTTCCCACAAAAGCCCCGGATAGATGCACGCTGCAGATATCTCCAGTTATTTGCACTCCCACGGGCATGACTAGGCACACCTATGCCCATTGGCCTCAATGGCCTTTGATGCACCTAACTCTTCCAAGAATCAGGATGCTAGTATACAAGGGACTTACATCTTGGTACAAACGCAAGCACAGCTACGGCTTGCACAAACACAACACCCCTTATTCCTCATCAGCCCATCCCGCCATCGTCTCTAATGCAACATTTAGAGGAGCGGAGTGCAATTCTCTGCCTGACATTATCCAGGCGAATTTTTATCCTAAGTCAAAGGTCAGCCACTGGACGTCTCTGTGCCTGCACCTTGAATGACAGCAACTTGCCTCCCAGTGGCCAACCAGAGGCAAAAGAGGAGTGGAGAACGTCACATTCATGTCGGAAGAAGTGCTTGACAGGTCGCTTTAGCTGAACAGATGGAGCTGAGTTAGATCATTGGTCTATCCGTGTCAGTACTATCTACTTTGACTGGCAGCAGTTCTCCACGGTCTCAGGCAGAAGACTTTCACATCACCTGCTACCTGATCATTTTAACTGGAGACGTGAACCTGGGACCTTCTGCAATGCCGAGCAAATGCTCTACCACTGCGCCAAAGGAAGGCACCAGCCCATCATTTGCTGTCTAGGAAACACAGTTGCTGAGCAGGGTCCCCAATTGGCCTTCCACTGGAAATATGGATACCACTTCCCTGTACCTTGTAGAAAGGACATTTGGAACTATGTTCTAAAATACAGGGAATTTTAAAAGTAATCCAACACAGGGAGCAAGATAGCTTGTCACACTGGGAAACTGGAGAACCACAGCAGAGAGCACATAGCATGGTAGTTAGCCTACTCTGATTTTTTAAAAACTGCCTGATCTCTCTGCAATGTGTAATCCAGAGTTTGTACCCATCTCTCCTTCCTTTCGCTGTCTTTTAGTGCTGCTATCGGTAGTTTACACAGCTCTGCCTATGGAGACTCTTTTTAAAATATCTGTAATGCCTAGTGACTTCTTAATGTCCCTATGCTCGTATTTCTTCTTCCAGATGCTCAAAAGCTATCTTACTCCTATAACTCCAGTATAAATGCCTAGACATTTAAATATCATACAATTTTATAATGGCATCAAAACAGCATGGAAATAATGGCATTTCTGTTTTAAAAAAATATACACTATGCATTTACGAGTCCTGGAAACCATTAGGCAACAAGGTGCTAGTCATGTAAAACGTAGCATATAAAAACTCATTAAGGGTGTTTTTTTCCATCCCAGTGGGTAATGAATAACATTCAAACTAATCTCAGCAGTATAAGAGAACCATTCATCTCTCTCTAAAATAGGGTCTCTAATTTTAACAATAAACCTCAATGTGTTAAAGAAGGGAAAGAATGACACCCTGAACTCCACCCCCCCAATCTTGTTTTGTACCGGTTTATTAAATTATGCATGGTGCACAGAAAATGGGGAAAGAGACCGTTTTCTCTTTGATCCATAATCCTCGATCTCGGGAGCAGCGGATTCAGGAGAGAGAAAAGAAGCTCTTCAGGCAAGCATCAACAACTGGTGGCATTCACTGCCACAAGATGCAGTCATGTGAAACAGCCTGAGCGTGG